AGGCCACCTCATTCCCTCTATTTCATACACTGGACGAGAACGTGCCCTCATTGTCCTTCGGGATTGTAATTAGCCCCGTGTGAACGTGCTGTTGGCTGCAAACAGGCTCTCGGTAGCAGTTCTCTAGAATAAACAGGATAGTTCTGTAATCTGAGAAGACGAGGTCAGAGACAGGATCTAGGTATAAAGAAGGGACAGAGAGGATGCAAAAATGTTGTCGTGTAGAGTCCCCTCCATAAAGTTATGCTGAAATATTGGGCTTCTTTAGGGAACCTCTGGCCCGATGCTGGCCAACAGAACTTCCTGTGATGATGGAAATGTTCGATATCTGCGAGGTTCAATAAGGAGACCGCTTGCTGTGTGTGGTTATCGAGCCCTTGACATGTGGCTAGTGCAGCTGAAAACTTAATTTTTAATTGCATTTCATTTTTTTAAATGCATTTTTATTGATTTCAGAGAGGAAGGGAGAGAGAGAGAGGCACATCATTGATGAGAGAGAATCATGGATCGGCTGCCTCTTGCATGCCTCCCCCTGGGGATCGAGCCCTGACCGGGAATCGAACTGTGATCTCCTGGTTCATAGGTTGACGCTCAACCACTGTGCCTTGCCGGCCAGGCTAATTGTATTTTATTTTAATTGATTAAAATTAAAACTTAATAGCACATATAGGTAGGGGTTACCATATTGGACAGTGCAGATCTGGCCCTGGCGATCTTTTAATCTCTCCTAACAACATGCACAGTTTGAGGCTGTCAGAAAATTGTTAAAAAATCGAAGGCACCAATTTCACTCGTCTTAGTGATGAGCATTTGTAATGGCGTAGACATCCTAGCCTCCCTGTACAGAGACAGGCGTTTATTCCTCGATTCCTCCTTCACGGAAAAATAAAGCATGTTCAAACTTTGATTTTAAAAATGAGTATGAATTACAGGCTTTCACAGTGATGGTTACACAGTGATGGGAATGGACTTAATGCCACTGATTTTTACCCTGAGAAATGGTTGCAATGGTACATTTTGTGTTAAATGCGTGTTACCACAATAAGACAATTGTAAGCTTGATTTTCTTCCGTTGGGCCCGATTTTAATGTACTTTTGTTAACGCCTCCCGCTGCCACAGGCCTGGCCGAGACCCTCGTCCTGCGCGTCCCAGGCAGCAGCGTGTTTCTCTTCGGCGAGGCCGATCTGCCCAAGAAGCGCCCCCTGGTCCAGAGAAGGAAGCAGCTGGGCTGGTTCGCAAGGAGGGATCTCAGTGCCCTGGAACCCGACCTGGGAGCTGCACCTGCCCGAAGATGTGGCTTAACAGGTTCGCAATTTGGTCTTCTTCTGCTGTTGTTTTTAAACTTGACAGTAGACTCCTGAGATGCCCTCGACTTGTTGCATAGTGTCGGTCCCAGTGAGGGCCCTAGTGAGTTGGGTCAGGGGCTCTCTGCTCTTGCTCTCACCCGTCTCTCCATAAGCTGACCAGAGAGGCTAGCAGCCCTCCTCGGACACTTGATGACAGTCCCTTAGAGGGAGATTCGAAGATCCATGATGAGCCCTGCCGCCTGGCCATGGTGACAAGAATGGTGTCACTCCCGACTCTGGGGTAGGGTCCTGGAGGCCTGCTGCTGTGCGCGGGGTGGGGTGGGGGGTACACTGAGGGGTAGGGACCTGGTCTAGGTTACTTGTAGCTGGTAGGAAAGCCTATCCGAACCTGATCAACCAGTGTGGCCAGGCTGATGCGTGCAGCTGGAGATCAGTTCTGGGGCAGCTGGGGAGCCTTCTCTAGACACCAGGCTTCTGGAAGAGCAAGCAGGCACCGGGAACAGGCATGGCGTTCTCCCTTCCCGGGGGTCCCACCGGTTCTTGCCTGTCTGCTGCTCCAGCCCTGCCCTGTATGCAGGGCTTATCTAGGAAAAGGAAAGCGCCCCCCCCCCCCAATTCCATCCCTGTTCCCTGCACTTCACCATCCCGCTGCCATTTACTTGAATCTTAATTCTTTTATTCTCAAATATCTTCTGAAGGGGTCACAAATTCAACCATGCTAGGTAACGTTTTGGTTGTCAGTTACTACCTTAGCCGTTACAAAAATATTGGCTACCCAAGAGGTGGGCAGGTGTAAGTCACACAGAGGCCTCTGCGTACGGTCCCCTGGTGCAGAATTCTCTCAAACGAAGGGTGTCTGTAGTCGATGCAGCGGAAAAATCATGGCTTTGAGGCTGAGTTCGAATCCCGCCCCTGCTGTTTACTGGCTGTGTGACCTCTGAGAGTTCCGTAAGCCTCAGTTCCCATATCTGTGAAATGGACACAATCCCTGCACTTCCCTCATAAGTCCATGAAGTTGAAATAATGTGTGCTAAGTACCAAATGCAATAGTAAAGAGCCTTTTCCCCCTTCCCTGCAGAGAGGAGGTATATAAAAAGTGATGATAAGTGTGTTTCCGTCTGTAGTTATGTAAAAGGGAAGAAACTGATCGCTCCCTGCCAATTTGAAACTCACATATTTTCCCACGAGTTGTCTCGCAAGTGTAGAAGTGTAAGTTCTGTGACTAAATCCTCAGAAGTCTAGTTCCTGGTTTCTAATTTGAGCCTCATTGGAGACTGAAGGGATTGCACCACAAACCAGTCAGCCCAATGCCAGGTAGTGCAATTGCAGCTAGTGGGCAGGCGCTACAGACGGGCTCCTGGTGTTAGAATACAGCAGAGCTGGCTTTAGCGTTAGGTAGGCAAACCTTGAAAAACCCAGTTCTCATTTTTGCAGTGAGAATGAATGGGTTCGTACTTGGGAAGAACTCTAACCTGATTTGAAAAGCATATCTGAGTTAAAGACCAAATGTTCAGAACTGGCACAAAGGGGTTTAAAGATGGCATTTTGAAGGCAGTTTTGATACTGGTAAGGATGTTGTTACAGGCCCCTACTGCTAAAGGTACTATCATTTGGTTCAAGCTGTGGAAGTGAGTTCAGGGTATGCATCCGGAGCTTCAAAGGTGTATATGGCTGCCTGGCAGGAGTCCTGTTTCTGGTGATAAACCCAAAGGAGATAGTAAAAGGTGCATGTCCTTATGTGCAAGTATATTTATCAGAGCATCACTTACAATAGCAAGTGCTGGACACATGATGCATGTTCAATATTAAATAAACTGTGGCATGCCTAAGTGAAGGACTATTATGCAAGCAATTAGGCATGAGGTTGCGGAAGAATTTTTAGAGACATGGAAAATACAACACATTGTAGAGAGAATTTGTAGATAATAAATGCAACAAGGAATTTGTTAAGTACTTAGTATGCACCAGACACTGTCATCAGTGGGCAAAACCGAATTGATATGCCCTCAAAGAATTTCTATTCCAGGGGGTAGGGATGAGAAGACAGACAATAAATAACAAGCTTAATTAATAATGAATTCTATAGCATGTTGGAAAATGATAAGTGCTATAGCCAAAAAAACAAAACAAAACACCAAAAAACCAACAATAAAACAACACCACCACCATGAGCCCCGGGGTGGGGTGAGCTGTGAATTTCAATGGGATAACCCAGAGTCAGCCTCACGGTGATGCAGCTTTGGAGCAAAGACCAGGGAGGCCGGTAGCCACTGGAGGTGTGAACAGGCGTCTAGGGTGGAGGGACTGGCCAGGGTCAAGGCCGGAGGCGACAAAGTAGCACAAATAGATGACCTAAATATTGGGAAAAATACATCTTATTTATCTCAAATTTTGCACATTTTAAAATTTATAATGCTCCAACTTATTTTCATAATTTCTCTAAATTGATCTTGTGATTATTTTCAATTATCTTTCATGAGGGATAATTATTAAGGTATATCAATGGTCAGTTTTTGTAAAAGCTGGGTTTCAATGTGTTCATTTAGATGGGTTTGATGGGAGAGTCAAGATAAGAAAGATAAAGTAGCACAATTTTCCCCCCAATGTCTATTTTGCTAATATCTCCTGACAAGTGGCAGAAGCCTTCATTTGTGCAAAAAACATGAAAGTTACAAGAGTGGCTAAGTTTAGGCGACCTTGTCCCAGCACAGGCCCTTCATTTAATAGGCTCAGAGCAGGTGCCTGCAGAAAAACATCATGTCTGTTTCAAGGTGGAAGAGTAAATAAGGGATGTGGATAAGCAATTCGTTTCTAGTAATTTGCAGACCAGATTGGAATTCAATATTAAGACACATGATCAGCCCAAATCTCAGGGTACCTTACTTGCACAAATTCTCCCTTAAAAAAACATTTATGGAGGAAAGAGTAAAATGCTTTCGTTTTTTTAAAGCCCTCTATATTGAAGTAGAATTTACAATACTTTGGTCATTAAGGTATAAATGTTACTCATCTAATTTTTCAGTGCATTTAGTTCTCAACAGTGGTGGTGATTTCCCTTATTTTAAAATCTAATGGCTTTATATATTTTTCTAACTTTCTTTAGTTATGTCAGTGTTTCTCAACAAATCTTTCCACTTCTCCCATCAAAACAGAAAAGCCTCAACACATTGTTGCTGTTTATTTCTTTTCCTAAAAAAGAATTAAATAGGATGATTGGTGCTATCAACTGAACACTTACAGTTAACTTTCCAGTGACAAATTAATCTGCGCAGTCCCCCAGAGGAAGCAGATCTATGAGGGAGCAGGTTTCTGTTTTGAAGTTCCCTAAGAATATTATAAACAGAGGAGGAAAAAAGTGAGCTCAGAAATGACTAGCACTCCTAGTCAGTGCCAAACAGACACAATCTTTTAACCAAATTCCTTTTAAAAGTTTGTAGTTGGCCAGCTCGTGGGGAACATAAATTAGGGCAAAGCAATAATAGTTGATACTTTTAGATCTATAAATAAATACTTTATACATATATATTTAAAAACCCTAAACATTTATGGGATAATTTAAACACTGCTGGCTGATATGTTATATGAATGGCCTGCATATACTATATGCATCATTGTTTAAAAATACAGGGACGATTCTTTGAACTACACAGTTTCATATGCTGTTTTGGGAATCATGGATGGAGGTAATCGGCACATCTTGGAGTCAGGGACTTCTGTTTAGCTATTTAAATGGGTTCCTGAGAGCTGCCCCTGCCACTTCTCTCCCTGTAAATCAGAAGCGTAGCATCACCAGCCACTTTTCTTGACATTGAATAATGCGATTTACTCCACATCAAAACTTTTACTTAGTCTCTGAAAAATCGCTTTCCCTGTGTTAGAATGAGTCTGTTAAGTTTTAAGGAACCAATTTCCATGATTCTCTGTTTGACTCTCCATCTACTTTGGATGATGGAAGGCGAAAGTCTCGATGTGTAATTAAACGTGGAACCTGTAATGGGCACATGAAGGACTTGGGTGTCGGATGGATGAAGGGCACCACTCCACTATGGGAAATTCGGGAACAAGCAAGTCACCTGAGCCGGCCTCACCCGGGCTGGCTTCATCCCATGACGACGTTAACGTGCACCTATTTGTGTAATTTCCTCTCTGAATTCTCGCTGTTCTGAAAGATTCAGAGCTGAGAAATTGAGGTTCACCATTCCTTGCAGAGCAGGAAAACATCATACGCATTTTGCAGAAAAACAGCCGAGCAAAGGCAGTGTCCTGAGGAGGTGGAACTTGAATCCGGATCCCTGGGGTGCCACTCCCAGCTCTGCCCACGTGCTCCTCACTTAGCTTTCTTTTCCATAGATCTGGCCACATGCCTCAGAGCCCTGCGTGCTTCCTGCCATGGGAGCGCGGGGCTGAGCAATTATGTGTCAGTTTTATGGCTTTGGTCACCAAATGTCTTGTCTCAGCTGTGGTTTCTCTGTAGTAGATGTTCTAAAAAAGTTAAAGCACCCGTATGTAACGGCGCCTGTTCGCTCCGGGTAGTGACTGTTTGTGTTGTGGGACCTGAGGTCCAGGTCGGGTGCCTGCTCTCTCTGTTACTGTGAAGCGAAGACCACCTCCAGGCTGGGCTTTATCTTATTTTCACCTCCTTCCTGTTTTTGTGCCCAGCGACTCAAGGCTCCTGGCACGCAGCAGGTTTTCAGGAAAACATACTCACGGAGGGAGTTGCACGTTGGTCCACGAGAATCTCTGTTTATTCCCATTGCACAGGAATCCACCCAGGTGACGTTCTCTCTTCAGATATGAAAATGCCAAGTACCCCAGAACACCACCCCAGCTCTCTCCTCGCACATGTGTGCCTACTGGCCGCTGGGGAGGAGCGCAGTCTAATGGGTAGGACGCCTAGACACCCCTAAGCAACTTCTGGGCACTGTAAATTGATTGATGGCTGTGCCACTGAGAACTATTTGTGAGGATAGTTTGATCTAAGGGGGAAGAAGGGCGCGTGTCTCCTCTGAGGGCTGCCTTCTCATTGTTCTAATGGGCTCTTCGCTATTGTTTTGTCTGAATGCAGGTTTTTATTTGTGTTCTTCCAGACGTGGTCCTACCACAAGCATCTTTAAACCAGACATTAATAGCGTAGTTCACAGTCATTACTGCCAGTGCTCAAACACAAGTATCGCATTCGTGTTTGCAAAAGCTACACATCAGATGTTAATTAAGTGCATTTGGGGCTTTTTTGTTTTTTTTTTTTCTGCTTAAACAATCTGGCAGAAAGAGTTTACATCTCTATCAGTTCACCATAAGGTCTCTACAATATCTAAATCACCAGCGTGCAGTATATGAGAAATGCAGTGTTTCCACACAAGAAAATAGCAGGATTGTCAGGAAGACATCAGGCCTGTTAGATTTCCTTGGGAAATAATAGCAACTGAATCTCAGTTTCTTTTTCTTTTTGTTAAAAAAAAGTATTTAACTAGGAGTAAACACCAATATTTAGAATGACAATTTTTTTTTATTAAAGAATAGAACACATGGAAGGTGATATCATAGCAGAGATTTTCCCTGCTTTTAGGCTGCGTGGGGGCGTTGTGACAGTTGCATTGGAATAGAACTGGGATTTGAGCTTCGAGTGGGGAGATTCGCAGAGCGGCCTGCCAATCTGTGGAGGTAGGGGCGGGGCGAACCACAAACAAACAAACTCACATCAGCTTTCTAATTTTAGAGCAAAAAGTGGAATCGCTTTAATTATATGACGTGTCACTAGAAATATGAGTTGCTGGGATTAATTATTTTCCTTATTTAAAAATTTTTGCAAAGTTGAATGAGCATAAAGAGTCAAATTCAGCATTTGAATAAAGTCACTGGGCCTGCTGGATTCGTTAGAATTAGTGCACCGTGTTGGTGTTGGACTTGGAGGAAGTTGGGAAAGCATGCATTTGGGCAGAAAGTGGTTTTCTTTTCCTCTCTTCCTCTCTCCTCCTTCCTCTCCCTGCACTCCCTCCCCTTCCACCGGAGAAATGGGTCATGGCCTCCCAACCCCGCAGAAAGGGAACCCCGACCCGATGAGGTCAGAAACTTCTCAGGACTCATTGGATCGTCTTTGTTTATTCACTGCTGAAGCTGTTGTGATAAAACAAATTATTGTGTAATTAAAGTTTAATAGAAGAATTTAAAATAACACATAGCAATGGAATACAGGAAAAATGATCATTCTGTGCTAAGTGGTTCCTTCTTATTTTATTTAAAAGAGAATATAAAAGTTGCTTCTGATGTTTAGTTTTATTTTTCTAAGAAATAATTAACTTTTACATATGCCTTTCTTTTACGTATGCTTTTAGGGGCGTTTTTAAAATAGTGGGTTTTTAAAAATTAAGTAAATCAGTGTTGGGACAAGGCTATTCTTTATCAAATTCTGTGCTCTGGGCTGGAAATCTAAATGTTTTCTATCTTCAATAACTTACCTTAGGCAATGAATTCATTTGTTAACAAGAATGATCACCTTTGGAAATGCTACTAAAAAGGGGCAGTTCTCGGGCATGCGGTGGTAAAAGGGGCCGTAGGAGGGACTGGCCCGGCCACCACAGCGTGGGCACGAGGGCCCTGGGTCCATCTCAAGGACTCCCTCAAGCTGACAGATTGCATGTGGATATCTGAATGCTGATTGGACACATCGCCGTTTTGAAATAGCCAAGCACAATAGGCCCAATATGTGTCTTGAATAGTCGTGCTTACTGTGGCAGAGTGTATATAGAAATAGACTCTTCAGCAAAAATGAGTGAGATCATTGGAGTGATGGTGAAGATGAGAGTCAGAATAGGGAATGTCTATCAGATTGGAGGAAATCGTTACCTGTCGGGTGAAGGAGAGAGAGAAGCCATGCTTGGATGTTTTCTATTAATGAACGGCATTAGCATTGACCAAAAAAAAAAAAAAAAAATTCCAATGTGCTCTGTGAAATGTTGAAACTGATATACTTCTCAAAGATATTTAGAGTAAGTGATTGGTGTATGAGATTATGAGAGAGAGAGATGTATTGACTGTTAGGAAATTTAATTTTTGTGAAATCAGCATGATGGAGAACTACTGTAATCTGATCATTTCTGCAGAATTCCCAGGAGGAAGAGGCCCAACCTCAGGAGTTGAAATGTTTTATTATGTGTACACATGTGGGAAAAAGGCGAAATGTGGTTTCTGTGTGCTGATTTTCTGTGAAGCGTCTATTAGTTTGAGCGTGCCCAGGCTAAGGCAGCAAAGCCCCCAACCACGGCTCCCTTTCCCAGAGGACATCTCTGATGGACACTGGCATCCTGAGCAATACGTTTGAAAGTAGCAAGAAAAAGCCATGACAGTAAAATGAGGTTGAAATAGTAGCTAAGGAATTGTCATCTGCTGGAGATGAGGTCAGCCTTTTATCCTCCGTCAATCCCTCATCAACCTTGCTTTCAGAAATATAAGGTTCCCCCGAAGTGAAGAAACTGCAAACCTAAGCTTTTTATGCCAATGCTAATTTAACCAAGTTGTCCATCCTAAAGTGTAAACTATAATTAGAGCAGGGTTATTTATGTAACATGAGCTGCACCATTCCTGAGGCAAGAAAAGAAGGGACATTTGCCCCCCGGCTCTAAAGTAACGGGGCTCAGAGAGGCCTTGGCCGTCCCAGGTCCTGGGGACGCTGGGGTGGGACAGGTGCCTCCAACAGGTCGTACCTCAGTAGGTATACAGAGTGCTCCAAACCCTGCCAAACCCATTCTCATGAGACACAAGTGTTTTTTCTCTTCCCAATTCCAAGGCTTTTTGTCACTTTTTAGTGACCACCTTCCCGAACCAAGACTGCTGTTGAAGTTCCCTTGAATTGGGTGTTAACCTAACTCGGTGATAACGGGTGTGTTTGGGGAGAAGGGATGGGTACAGAGTATGATTTATTCGTGTCTCCCAGAGCCCTAGGCCCAACCCTTGTGGAGATGTCCTTGGAAATGAATGAGAAGCCAAGACTTTTTGCTGCTGTTGATATTTAATACTAAAGTGCGCTGCCCCTTTTCTGCTGGTATTTGGGAAATTCCGGACCCTTAGCTCTTCTAGAAAAGACAACCTGCAGCTACTTTCAGAGTAGACAAATGTTTCTGCTTTTAGCTTAAATAGCTCTGTTTTATATACATATATATTTTACAAAGCTCTGGAGTTGGTAATGATATTTGTATTATTTTAAAGTACAACCACGTAAAGGTAGCTCCTTGGATTAAAATTGGCTAAAGAATAGAACATTCAGAAGGAGGGTTTTGCTTTGCTTGATTAACATGCTTTCCCAATGATTTAGGCGTCGGCGCCAGCCCGTATGTGATGAACTGCAATGTGACCATAGACTCCCAAGACTTGGCCTTGGGAAAGGAGATTGCTGGTGCCATTCGGGGCTCAAATGCAAATGGACTGAAGGGCGTCCAAGCGATGGCCTTTCCCCATGAAGGGAAAGTCGAGATAGCTTGCAACGTGGAGAGTTTTGAAGACCAAGAAGCTGCAGAAACCTCAGAAGAGTCCCAATATATGGCTTATAGTGTCCTTGGGGACCATTTTTCTTACGTATCTCCTCATTACATAGAAGCGCAAGTTAAAAAGCTGGCGGGTGATCGGGGAATTGGTACTATAGGGAGAGCATTAATTGGATTTACACCCCAAGAGTGCAAGACCTGTGCTGAATATGCTATAAAAGAAAATATCGGGGAATTCTGGAAGATACGGGGAGGTATTTTCATGTGATCCAGTTTAAGAATTCATGGAAATTTTAAGGAAAAATGTCAATCATTACAAAGTTTTGTCTGGCCAGTGAAGATGAGGGAAAGATACAGGCATTCTTTGCTCAACAGCCAGTCTTTATGGATTGTTCCTCATTGCCCCGTGATAGTTCTAGTCCTCGTTGAAACTTCACAAGAACCTCTCTGCACCTCGTTTATGCACTTTGTGCATTAGAAGACCCCCCGAATCAACTGAGTGGAATGGGCATGGCTGCCAAACCATGTCAATAGGTTTAATTGTTGAGAACAAAACCAAAGATGGATTTGATTTCCTTGGTTTTCCCTAACTCATTATTTCCAAGGTCTGTATTCAACTTCCATTTTTCAAATGATCTTTTTTTTTTTAAATGTGCATGTTAAAAAATGTATGTCACTAAGTGACTAAAAAGTGGGGAGAATTATAAAATAAAATTGCTCTTTCAAAGCCTGGTTGTTCTTTTTTGCCTTCCCACTTTTAGGATAACCTATTGTTTATTGCAGAGATAACTCCAAAAACCTGATTTGCCTAATTTTTTAATGTTTATATAGGGAGATGGAATGGTGGTGTGGGGCATGACTTCAAGGAATTGTGTTTATCCTTTTTGGAATTTAAATGGGAAGTCTGAAGATTTAGGGCATATATTGCTTTTGAGCACAGAGAAGAGTATCAGTGGAAGGAATTTATTTGAAAGAAATCAAAATATGTAGTCATTTTGTGAACTAAAAGAAGCCACTTGTTGATTCTGGAAATTTTATGTAAATCTTTAGTATTTATATTGCTTTAGCACAGGGTCCTATCTATCCATAAAGCACAAAGAAATGTATTTTTCTGTTGATTTTTTTTTTTAACAAGAAAGATCATGGTCCAAATAAGAGCACATATTGTGAATTTATTTTATGGAATTAAAAATAAAAAATAGATTGAATTCAACTCTTGAATCTGGTTGTGTTAATTTTGTTCCAGAATTATGCTTCTTTGGGTAGTTTTGCTGTAAATAAAAATGCTCAAAAGATGGGAAAATGATGGACTCAGTTTGGTTTTCAGGCACAAGGACACTTGGTTGCTGTGGTGAAGAGAGCCAATGCTGTCCAGTTAGACCCGATGTGTCTGTTCCTCCGACGGTGAGAGCTGAGAAGCAGTAGCACCTGGTCCTTCTATTGCCTTGGCACAGGCCACGCAGCCTGGTGACCGAGCCCTGGGCAGCGGGTTGGAGGGCGTGGGCTTACCTCCCATGGAGCCGGAGTCCCATCACCTATAAAAGGGGGAGAAGAGTTCTCACCTTGACCAAGGGCTGTGTCCTGGGGAACTAGATGGGACTTCGTAAGCTGAAATGTGAAAATGACACGGACTTCTAGTACTCTTCCCAGACCTATTCTAGAGCTTTGCTTCCGGCCTGGGCAGCAATAGTGAGCAGGGGAGAGAGGGGAAAAGCACCGGCTGCCACTGAGTTGTCTGGGGCTGTAGGAGGACTTGCTTCATTTGCCAGGCACCTGAGTGAACCTCTCCGGGTGCTGCGGCCGCATCCCCGGCTGCTGGCTTTGCACAAGGCCTGTCTCAAACCAAACATCTAGTTCATGGGTACGGTTCCCGTTGTGGAAGATAAAAAACATTCTGGAGATGATGGTGATGATGGTTGCCCAGCAATGTGAATACTTAATGCCATTGGCCTATATACATAAAAGCAGTTAAAATGGTAAATTATATATATATATCCACAATTAATCATTAAAAAGTATATATTGATTCCACAAAAGTTTAAAAAAAAACAGACATCTGAGTAAGATAATTTCACTAAGCCCATACTTACTAAATAAAGTTATGATGGACTTTGGCACTACATATGAGGGTTAGTTAATTTTTTAAAATAAAGTTGATTAAATTTGGCCTTTGATCAAAAAATAATAATTTATGATTTTAAAAAAATCTTTATTGTTTAAAGTATTACATAAGTCTCCTTTTCCCCCCATTGACCTCTCCCCGGCTGCCCTCATCCCCTAGCACATGCCCTCACTCCCCTACTGTCTGTGTCCATTGGTTATGCTCATATGCATGCATACACGTCCTTTGGTTGATCTCTTACCCTCTCACCCCCCGCCTTCCGTCATAGGTTGGACAGACTGTTTGACACGTCTATGACTCTGGTTTTATTTTTGTTTATCAGTTTATGTTGTTCATTCTTTTTTTATAAAGAATTTTCGAATCCAGTACAATCACATCTTACTTCTTGTTCATATTCTAATTCCCCTGTTCTTTCCTATTGTCTTTCTCTCTTCCCCTCCTCCCTTGCTCCACCATGGTTCTCTAGAAAATCTGAACCAGCAGTAAGTTGCCATAGATTTAACTGGCAGACAGCTACTGTATCATCAGCATTTTCTAAGCCTTAGCTGGCAGAAGTAGCTGGGATAGGTCTATAACATTGAAGGATTATCATGTTGGGTTGAAAACATCTGGCAAAATGCACTGACAGATATCCTGACCCATATCAACCTTTTCTCATACTGGCCTCTTAGAAGCAAACTGACAGTTTGTGCAAACGTTTCTGCAGCATTTTGTTCTATGGGACAACAAAGTGGACACTGTATGGAACGTGGCTCGTTTAACCTCGTCTCCTGCCAGATGACTGCCCGGGACTTGGGCGGGTTGTGAATAGGGCAAAATGGATTTGGGCAAGTAGAGTTGACATCTTATCAACTTTTCCATGTTTCTGCTCTCCCCCACTTTATTTTTTTTTTAATGTATTTTATTGATTTTTTTACAGAGAGGAAGGGAGAGGGATAGAGAGTTAGAAACATTGATGAGAGAGAAACATTAATCAGCTGCCTTCTGCACACCCCCTATTGGGGATATGCCCGCAACCAAGTTACATGCCCTTGACCGGAATCGAACCTGGGACCCTTCAGTCCGCAGGCCAACGCTCTATCCAGTGAGCCAAACTGGTTAGGGCTCTCCCCCACTTTAAACTTTAGCTTTTTGTCTCTTAGAAGAGGGATAAGAAAAGCAAAACGCTAGGACCTGAGGATGCTGGAGCTTTTGTTGCTTTTCTTGGGAGGTGGGGTATGGGGAGGGGTATCATTTGCTTCCAACATGAATTTGGGCTTGACTCAACAATAAATTAAAACGACTTCAACCTGAGGGAGTGGGGCGGGCTACGTAAGATAAAACTGCAAAATCAAACCGAATGGGGGGGTGGGGCAGTATTTTCACTCCCTCGACATAATGAGAAACCTTGCTCGGTAACTGGCTTGTACTGTCTCAGAGGTGGCGTCCGCGGCCCACAAAGGACCACTCTGTGAGAGATCTGCAAGGAATTTATCATTCCCTCTGGCTGAGCCAACACAGGCTGATACACAGTTTTGTTTCGTATAAATATTCTCATGTTACTGTTTACTCTGTGGGGATCCAGGATCTCCCTGACAGGGTACGTGCTCCACAGCCTCGCTTTTAAGAGGCATGGGCTTGACTCTGTTGTTTGTACTTGCCCAGCAACTTCAGAGAGTGGTCCGGGAACGCGTTTGATAAGCATCCAGGAGCATGTCGCGCTCGGGGGGTTAGGAAAGCTTATTGTTTTAAGCAGGCCCGCACACGGCCCCGAGGAGCCCATTTTTCATAGGAGAGAGCAGGGCAGACGCGAACCCCGGGCCCCTCGAAGGCTCCTTGGAGCTGGAAGGTGAGGAGGTCCCACTGCGTGTGGCTCTGGTGGGACGTGGCCTGATGCTGGATTGCCCTGCCATTTCCTCTGTCCCCACTGGACATATTTGGAGGCAGTTTAGTTTGTTGTGAATTAAGATGGGAGCCGGCAACCTAAACATGGGGCGGGCTTCCCTTGGTAAATGTGCAGTGCATGTTGTCCAGCCACTGTCTCCCAGCCCCGTACCCCCTTCTAGACGCTGCTATGCCCCTGGGATTCTGCAAACGGTATTCCTTCTTTGCCAGCTGGTTTCCCATGGGGCTCTGCCATGCGGGGTGCTGGGTGGGAGATGCAGGGCGGGGGGCGGAGGGGCTTGCTCCTTCCTGTGGGCTGCCTGCTCTGGCAGCCTCACCTCAGCCATGGCTCTCAACCTGATGGGGGGTCTTGGTTCCATGCTCCAGCCTTTTTTTTCTGAATGAGATATTTTTATTGATTTCAGAGAGGAAGGGAGAGGGAGAGAGAGAAACATCAGTGAGGAGAGAGCATCAGTGATCGGCTGCCTCCTGCATGCCCCACACTGGGGATGATCCTGCAACCCAGGCATGTGCCCTGGCCAGGAATCAAACCGTGACCTCCTGGTTCATAGGTCAGTGCTGAACCACTGAGCCACGCCGGCCGGGCTTTTTTCTTTTTTTACATCAGCCTCCCCGTTCCCCACAGAAGCGCCTGCCTTGGCAGGCTCATCACCTCCGAGGGCTGGGCCCCGCTCTGCCAGGCTCCCCTTGAAGCTTCTAGGCCCGAGAACACAGCCTCCTCCCCGTGTTCCCTCCGCCTGGGTCGGGGCCTCCTGGGTGTGTGTCTGGCAGCGCGGCCTCTCTTGCCCTTTTCGTTCTCCAACAGCTGTGGGCCAGTTTCTCTCTCTAATGTTATCTCTTTCGAAATTCTTTATGGTTTCTGTTCTCCCTGCTGGATGCTGTCAGAAGGAAACCCACCGGCAGGCCCCATGGGAGGGCACGGGAATGAGGCAGAGCCTGCTCAGCACTGGGTGGCGTCACCAATCGAAACAGCCCGTTGACGACCGCTCGCCTTTGCTGCGCATTCCCATTTTGTTCTCTTAATTTCACTGTTTTTTTCTGGTCAAGCTCCAGTCTATGTTCCCTCTCACAGGCGCTATTCTTTCAGCCAGTAAGGAGTCTAAGTGCTCACTTGAGGTCAGGTTGGCAAGTACAGTAAATCATTGGGTAGAGTTTTCCAGTGAATGGCTTTTATGTAGCAATTTCTTTCCCCCTTTGAAATGTAGACCAGTATCCTGGTAAACGTAAAGAATTTCAGTCTTTTCAGTCTTGTCATAGTTCCTTGTCTTTCCTTTGGTACCCCACTTCACCTGCCAGTGAGATGATGCTTCTTAGTTGGTGGCACCCAGACCTTCCTTCCAAAGCTCTTGTGTATCATCCTATTAATTGTATTTTAGGAAGTCCCACCTGCAACCAGTCGCTGTCTCCTAACTTCTTAGATGCCTGTATCTTCATGGAGGCCAAACTGCATTGTCTAGCAGTGACTCCTTGTAATAAAACTCTGTGGTTTCTGGTAAGTGTAAATAATTGTTGGCTATCGATAAGTATTATTCTCTGTCTACCCCCAAATTATGTTCAGTGCTGTTGGGGAGTACATACTCCTCAAACCCTGCTCTCTGGACTGTTTGTCGAGTGCATAGGTCCTTCATCCTGCTCCAC